CGAGAGAGCCCAAAGGAGTCACTCACTGCACCACTGAGAGAAATGACATCGAGAGAGCCCAAAGGAGTCACGGAAGAGAAGCTGGAACAGGAGGTCATGTTTAAGGTTCAGTGTGGTACACAGTCTACACAATTGCGTACATAACTGCCAAAACCTAAGGTACACCAATTCCTGATAAGATTGTGTCTCTAGAAGTAATGGGGGTAATTGACTGAAATCACAAAGGTCTTGGGAAATGTTTCAATCTCCCCATTGTACCAGAAGGCTGAGCCGACATCAGGGAAGGGGCATGAATGCATTAAGCTGCCACTATGAGGCAAACTGTGCCAAGTGCGTTCACATAGGTTCTCACACACACACACAACTCACTAATGTGAGAGTCCAGCAGGTTCTAAGCTCCCTGAGGAGAGCGACACTTCTTATTCAGTAATGAAGCCTCTCTGCCTGTGTACTGTGACTGCACACGGTAGGTGCCCAGTACATGCTCGTGGATTGATATAAGATTTCCCTGGTGCATAAATTGAGGATGCGGGACATTATGCAGTTCACTTAAGGTGGTCATGCCACTGGTGAAAGTGGCAGCAGTGGATCCAAACTTGAGCTTGTCTGATGCCACTGCTCATTAATCATCCTTTCATTGAACGGGGCTGCCTGCTACATATTTTCCCTCAAAAAACCAACAGAAATGCTTATTTCCTAATATACACCCTGCTGATGCACACAGCAAGGACAACTGTAACCTCTTTGTGTTCCTACTTTCCAAGCGCCTCGTTCTCAGAGCACTGCATTTGGTCCTGCGTGTCCTCTCAGCTGGCCAAGCCTCGTCAGGGGAGTCATGATCCGTAAGCACAGGTGAGAAGACTGGGAAGGGCCAGCTACCAGGGAAGATCACAGGAGGGGGACACTGGTCTTGCTCTCAATTGGAAGACGGCTCCTGCCTAGCAGAATAACTGTTCTCATTGAGCCCACTCTTCCTTTCCCTTCTTGACAGCAACGTTTTTAATTTTTTTTTATTTGTACATGCTTGTGTTACATAATAATTATATTTCTTGTTGGGAATTGGTACACATACATCACAAGTCTTGATTCTTTCTTCTTCTTTCCCTACCACCTTCTTTTTTGCCAGAATCAGATTCATTTATTTACCTTAGAAGTCTTTATGAAGTTAATAATCATATAGACAGAATAACTGCCAGACTAACAGGCCAAAAACATATAAAACACAAGACAATCATGCTAAGGCAATACAATTTCACATTCATGGTCCATGCTGGATTATAGTAATCTCTGTCTTTTTTCCCTATTGCCTGTCTTTTCTCCAATCTATTTATAGATTGAGATTGTCATATAAAAGCAACCAACCACTATTATCTGCATGATATACTTCACTTAATGTTGCTCTCTAGGTGCCTCCATTATCCTACAAAAGACTCCTGTTTATCTTTCTTTGTGGCACAGTACTACTCCACTGTGTCTAAACCCATTTTCTGTATCTATTCATCTGTTGGTGGACATGTAATGTAGGACGCTTCCAACATTCAGCTATTGGGAGCCGTGTTGCTATAAACAAGAGTGCGAATGATAACTCTGTATGATACGCTTAACTCTTCTGGGAAGACACCCACAAGGGGAACAGCCGAGTCAAATGGAATTTTTATCTGCAGTTTTTTGAGGCCTCCCCGTACTGATCTACATAGTGGTTGTACTAGTTTACATGCTTACCAACAATGAAGGAGGCTTCCCCTGCACCCCTCCACAGCCCCTGCAGAATTTGTTCCTGGTTGATGCAAAATTTTTATCTAAAAACTCAGAAGCAAAGCACATGGCCTGCCAGTCTCTCTGTGTCCAAATATGTCTGTGTCTCTGTCTCTCTCACCTTCCCTCCCACCCTCCTCGTTCCCACCCCTTAAACACCCACGGAAACAATTGACAAAGCTTGAAACTTGATCTCTAATAAATGAATGCTTAAAATATATGCAAAAGTTAGGGGTATTTATTTTTAATTCTATGTATAAAATGAGTTATGTGCTTCAGATATTTTGACTTGTGACTGTTAACTAGATTCCTATTTGTTCCATCCAAAAACGTCCAAAGTAATGAACAATGATCCAAAACAGACTACGCTTGAATGGTACAGTAAATCATGTGCAAAGGAATGTTCCCACAACAAACTCAGTAAATGAAGGTCACTATGTCTGAAGAGGAATAACACTGAATTGTGTCAAAAGCAAGTTGTCTAAAGCATACTTAGTTCCTGTCTACCAAATCGTCCCTCATTATGTTCTGAGCAACAGCTCTGATAGTCATATTATTAAGCAATACAGACACTGATGAATAAGAGCATTTTTACCTTAAGGAAGATTTACGTATCGTCTTCTGGTTGTATGAGTGCTGTCATTGTCCTCTAAACCTCTGAACGACGTGAAGTTCTTTTTCTAGCAGGATATTATTCACTATTCTGCTCTTTTAGTGCTGCAGGCCATGATGGGCTGCCTAATGTAAATTAAACAAGAACAGCCTGAAAAAGATACAAGCTTTGATTACTGGCATGTTTAATTATTGAAACATCAACTTCTATCTAAATTTTCTCTTAGATGACCAGAACATTCAGTTATGCAAATCACGCTAGCATCTGGGAAAGTATGTTATTTAATTTATCAGAGATGAGGTACTTAAACAGAGTCTCACACAGCAGCGTGCTATCATATCGCGCGGGATCTGCGGTCACCACCACCTCCTCCAGCGGTGGTGCTCAGATGGTTGGTTCTCCTGTCCCTACATTTCTGAAGCTTCAACCCTAGCTGCTTCTTAGACAGGTTTTCTGCTTCTTTCTAAAACCATCACGTGGTGGTTCTCAAAATATTTAATCTGATACATGACCTCTAGTGCCTGGAAGACACACAGAAACATGAAAAATGACATCAAAATTTCTATTTTGTTTGTTAGCAATTAAAAACCATAGCAACATTATTAGCAGCAGATTCTGGATGGTAGGAATCACTTGTGAAAGCCCTAAGCATACCGAAGTTCTCATATCACGGGTGGTGGTGTCAAATATGAGTTCTACAGATGTTATTTTAGGCTGGGGAGGCAGAAGGTCCCAGGAGACTCGGCTGAACCCCCGCATGCCAGACTCACAGCTACCGCATCATGCTGTGGAGCTTAAGCCCAGGCTCAAGGGAGAATTGGTGCAGTCACTACACTCTTTGTATCAGCTAATAAGATGTACAGATATTAAATACTTGATTTCGATAACTGTACTGTTATCACATCAGAGAATGTTCTTGTTTTCAAGAGGAGCTACTCCTACTTTCAAGAGGAGTGTGTGAGGAGTTACATACTCAAGCATGTGGGAAAAAGAGCACTATATTCACAACTTATTTCACATGATTGAAAAATCAACAGAAGAAATGATGAAGCAGGGACTGGGGAGATGGCTCAGTGGAATAAGAGCTTCCCTGGCAAGCGCAGGGCCGGAGTTCAATCTTCGGTTCCGCCAAAAAAATAAAGAAATGATGAAGGAAATATGGCAAGAATTTAAGGTTTGGAAAATCTGGGTAAACAGGCTGAGAATATTATGAACTATGCATGCAACTTTCTATTAAGTCTGAAATATCAAAGAAAACAAAATAGAAGAAATCATAGGCCCATAATTGACAATCAGTAGATTCACTGCACGGGACTGTCAATGTCCTTGGGTCACTGTCTTCCTGTGCAAGATAAAAGATTAAATTCCAGAGGATATTTCAAAACGTATCTAACCAAAAGTGCTGCTTTGTGTGTTTTAAGTAGTGGTTCACTTACATATCTAATTTCCAATAGGATACGAACAGAACAACTTAACAATACACACGTCACTACTCCCTTCAATAAGGATGAGTTGGCTGGGAGAAAGCTCGGCTGTCTAAGCACCTGCCGGGCAAGTGCAAGGTCCTGAGTTCAATCCCCGGTTACCAGATGCTATGCTAGCTACTGACACTGAGCCTGGTGGCACACGCCTGCAATCCCAGCCCTTGGGTGGCTGAGACAGGATGATGACCATGAGTCTGAGCTACATAGGAAGACCCTGTACCAAATAAATAAATTAAGAAAAGATTTTTTATTTTTATTTTTAATATTTGTTTCAAAAGAATTAACTAATGAGACTCAAGTAGAGCGCAGTCCTCCAAGCCAGAAACTGGCAGCTACCACAAGAAAGGGAATTTTGGAAATAAATGAAAGAAACATTCTTCCTTTCAAAGGTAATATAAGAGCTGGTGAGACGCAGAGAAAAGTTAAAGAAAACACTTAAGGAAACTCTTAACTTCAGCACAGTCTCAATTTCGAAAGATGGCATATAATATCCCATACTTTTGTTTTGAGATGGCCTCCACGCTTCAAGAAAAATCTTAGTCGTTTTTCTGCAAACTTTTGCAAGCTGCTTCTGCTTTGCACCTCACTGTAAGCAAACTTGGAGAAAGACTACAAACCGCAATATGTTGTAGCCAAAATTAAAAAAAAAAAAATCATGTTTCAACTAGTTTAAAAAGGAAAGTAGGGGCTGGTGAGATGGCTCAGTGGTCTAAACATCTACTTAGAACAAGCTTAGCAAAGCTCAGGGACCACGGTTCAATCCCCCAGCACCACATGCCAGCCAGCCCCGCCCCCTGGTGGGCTGAGCTGGCCACACACATGCACACACACACACACACACACACACAAATAAAATTTAAAAAAAAAAAGGAAAGTAGTTTTTAAAGTGGGAACCAAGATATAGGAATACAGGAGGAAAAGGCCACCTAGATACCTCTAAAGGCAGAAACTATAGCTCATCAGAGCTTTTAGGAGGCACAGAAGAGTCTGCATGTGACCTGAGTTCAGGTTCAGTCTGAAAAAGCACTCTGAACTGGGAACTGAAAAGCCTAAGTGTTTGTCCTGGGAGGACTAGAAGTGAGGTCTTGGGCAAAATCCCTAAACTCATTGTGATTTCTCATTGTAGGTGACCTCCCAGTCTCCTCTAACCTCAACGGTTTGCAGTCCAGCGTAGAAAGGAGACCTGAGGGGAACCGGTGCACTGGGAGCTGCAGAACTTCCCCCTCCTCACCTACTCCAAGGTCCAGGCCCCAGCTTCCAAGAGATGCTGCAGTCCTGGTGAAGGCGTTTCTGGTGGATTGGAAAGAAGGTGCAGGGGCCCTCCTGTCTGCAAAAAGAGGTCCCTAAGGAGTCCAGAAGTAACCCCCTAACCTGACCCCTGGTTTTAGCCTCCCAGAGATGGAGGCCAAGCCAAGGCAAGGAAACCTAGCTTGAGACAGGCTCCCAAGGTAGAACAGCACCTGGGGAGGGAAGGGGGTGGGTATTGCTGGGGCAGGGACAAAAACCTAGAGCCCTGCTGGTGGGAAGTGGCTGTCTTTGGTTCCTTAGCCCAGAGGTTGGCTGCAGGGTCAGGTCCTGGCCCCCAGGGCTCCTGACTGGGAGACAGGGGTGGGCCCTGAGGCAGAGGCAACAGGCCTCTGGCTTGCCAGAAGGCAGCTGGCTAGAGGGTTGCTGAGACCCTGCCACCCCCAAGTCCTCAGCCCCTAAGCCTGGGCTGTGTCCACAGAAGCAGCAAACCACAACAAAGGCAAGCCTGCTTCCTGTAGTGCCAAGGAGTCCTGAGTAAGTCAAGGCTTAAAGGGTGCCTCCTCTGGAAGAACAGTGCCTGCAGCCAGTCCCAGGGAGTCCAAAGCAGGAGGGAGCCCAGCCCCCATCTGCACCCCTGGGGAGGGAGCGGTTCCCTTTGTCAGTCCCTCCACAACTCCCCAATGCCCTACCTAGTCCCTGGATGCAATGAGCCAGGACCTGTCCCCAAAGTTTCTCCCTCCAGATACCTAAGTGAGTCATTTACAGCCTGACAAATGCCCCAAGGCCAAGATTTCCAGACACACTGGTGATTTCCTCATCCTCAAGGCGACTGGTCAGCTCCAGTGAGTAACCTGGACCTGTCACTTGGGGCAAGGGCTGTGTCTAGCTCTCAGGGCTGCAGCTCACTCAAGCTTTCCAGAGACTGGCTCCCACAAACTTCAAACCACAGGCAGGCTCATTTACGGGGACTGCAGCCTTGCGAGGGAGAAAGCCCGGAGACAGACATTTTCCAAACACTGCTGACATTTTGTGCAGCTGCACAGGGAAGCCCGAGGTGATGAACGGGGGCGCGTTGGTATCTGAGGGTGTCCGCCCTCCCGTGGCCTTGAGGTCACAGGTACAACTGAGAGGCTGCTGGTGGCCAGAATAAAACTAAATGGATGCTTCTCCCTTCCTCCGCCCTCAATCCGGGACCTCCAAAAGTGGGGCACAGCCTGGGTGCAGCACAGGGTGCAAAACAGCCCTCCTGGAGCTTTATAAACACGCGGAACCCGAAAAAGCATTGACAGCTCATGTGAGGGCGAGAATCCTCGCGTCACCCCCACAGCCTCCCACGTCACCCAGGTTTCCCCTTCCGTGACACCTGGGAGCTGCGTTCGGGCCGCATACCAGTCTGTGGGTCCTGCGACCTGGCCTGACTAGGCAGCCACCTGGAGCCTGTGGTTTACAAGGAAGCAGGAAAACTCTTCCTAAGGAGTGCAACTTGAACACCTTGCTAATTTCCTTTCTGTGGTCTCCGCTAGTGGCTGGATTCCTCTTTGGGGGTGGCCGCGATCTCCGCAAGCCTAGTTCTACAAACACCTCTGAATCTGGGGTGCGTGTGGCCCCACACTCGCCCAAACCCCCTGCTGGCATGGGCAGCTATTTCTAACCCCTGCTAGGTCACCTACAAGCCCCAGTCCCCCTACTTTAACTATCTAGCGCCTTGCTGTTTCCTGTCTCCTGCCTGCGAACGAAGTTCTTAAGGGAGGCACTTACCAGGTGTTCTTAAGGGAGGCACTTACCAGGTAACCCTGACTTCCACAACAAAGCTGGGCATGTGCGTCCTTCCAGGGCCAGCAGGTACAAGGATAACAGCGGGCAGGCGCCAAGCAGCTCAGGTCTCCAGCCCCTAACAGCGCACTGGGGATGCGCCTCCTTGGGAAGTGCAAGCTCGCATCTGACAGGAGCCAAGGGTGTCTGCTCAGGACTAGGGCAGCAGCAGGAGGGGGTGGGGCCAAGGAAAGGAGGTGGGGGGCACGGCACGGGGAAGGGCATTGTTCTGGGGAAGAGGGCGGCCACACCAGGGTATTGGCTGGCGCCCCCGCCTCACCAGCTGGAGCTCAGCATTTGTTCAGGACGTTAAGCTGTGACTTTCTGCCTCATGGGCTCTGCTCTGCTCCTCCTAGGCCAGGGCAGAGGATCTGGATCCAGCCATCCTCTGATGCCAGTTGATTGCTACCCTAGGGTGCCTTCAGGGAGGCCCAGGCTGGCCCTGAAGGGCCACAGCCCCTTACTAGGGAGCCTGGAGCTGTGAGGGGGCAACTCCAGGCACCAGGGTCCAGCCTCCCCATGCTGACACTTTCAGTCTTCTGAGAGATCCTGGAGGTGGGGGGCATGTCAGCACACAGCTCTTATCCAAGGGACCTCCTCAAAGACACCAGGAGCTGCCATGACCTTCCTAGAACTCTCAGGAGAGACCTCTCTCTACTGGTCCAGACAGCCTTTCCCTCAGAGTGCTACCTCCAGGTGGCTTTTCACTCAGGGCAGAAGAGTAACTTCCTAGACAGTGGGCAAAGGCACAATCCCAGAGCCAGAGGACTGCGAGGACCAGGGAGGAAATGGGAGGAGGGCACAGGCCAGACCCTAGGAAGCCTCCAAGTAACAGTGGGGCTCCAGCTACGAAATGGGGTGAGCATGGCCGGCAGGGCCAGATACCCAGGCCCAGGCTGCAGGAGGTGGGGAAGAAACTCTGCCAAGAGTGAGGCAGCAGAAGGGCCACTGAGAGGTCTCCACGCAGAGACAGCAGGTGGCGCTTCAGAGGCTCTCAGTCCTGCTCTGGGTCCTTGTACAGAAACACAGCTATGGACCACGTGGTGCTGCCCAGGGACAGCACACTGCAGAGGTGCCTCACACTAAGGCAGCCAGAGGCTTCTCCAACCCCTGCACCTGCCCAGTGCCTGGTCCGGGCCTCCTGGGACCGGGCCTTGTTGGGAAGGGGCTCTGTGCTGGTGGGCACCATACTTGGAGCAAAATCCACAGCCCTGCCACAACCTTACTGCAGCGTCTTCATGGGAAAGGGTTATGGGGTGGACAACACAGGACTGAAGGCCCCTCCACTGCACCCCACGATGGCTCTGAACCACAAACTCTGGGCCAATAATTTCAAAAAGAATGACCTGCATTGGAGAGATACAGATTAAGACAACACTGAGATTCCACTCACCCCAGAAAGAATGGTAATCATGAAAAAGTCAGTAACATGCTGGAGGGGCTGTGGGACAAAGGAACCCTTCTCCACTGTTGGTGGGAGTGCAGACTGCTGTAGCCACTGTGGAAATCAGTGTGGAGGTTCCTTAAAAAACTACCGCTAGAGGTCTCATTCAGCTGTTCCCCCTCTAGGTGTCTTTCCCACAGGAATTAAAACCATCATGCCACAGGCCTGTATGTGCATGCATGTTTATAGCAGCACAGTTTGTCATTGTTAATTCTTGGAAATCAAAACCAGGTGATCATTAACTGAGGAATGGATAAAAATGTGTAGGTCTGTTTTATATAATGGAGTATTACTCAGCCTTAAAGAAGGAAAAGCTAGAGACTTATGTAGGGAAAGGGATACAATTGGAGGTCAAACTCAAGGAAAATAAATCAGGCTCCTATGTGGGAACATTGTACTGTCAATCTGAGAAATTGAACATGTAAATAAAATCAGAAATATACAGTAGATAGTGGGAATTGAAACTGTTGAAAAGAGAAACTGATGGGGGAATGGGGAAAGGAAGGTAAAAGAAAAAATGTATATGTATACACAGATGGTTAAGGCGGTTATACAGCCCAGTTCTCTTAGTTCACTGAAAATGCTTAGTGCTAATACGGTGTGGGCATCTTGCATGTGTGGAACTCGTTCTGTGTAACCACTGTAAAGACAAAAAAAAAAGTGGACTATTGTAAGTGCTCTACTAACCTGTTCTCAAACTTAGTTTAATTGTTATATTTTTTCTTCCACTAAAGTAATTGGGGAAAACTGACCTGGTTACAGGGAAAAAACGGAGAGGATGTTGCTATGGGTCACCTTCTGTTACTAAGGGTTCCTTTCTCTCCTCATGCAAATAAAAGGCCAAGTCTGAAGAGCAGAGTGTCTGAGCCACTGTGTCTCAAAATGTTGAGGTCTGCCAACGGGGACAGATCACAACAGAAAAAAAAAAATTCAGCCAGAGAAAGTTTAGGTGAAAAGAAAGCTGGCCAGAGTAGGATCGGTGAGGGGTGGGACCAGCTAGGGCCGCCCTAAAGTGGCTGAGCATCCCTACTCCTGGCCAGTCATTAGGGCTGTTGCCCAGTCTCTGCCTATGTCAAGCCTGTTTCCTCCCCTATTATTAGGAGGTGGACACCACCTCCCTCTGTTCAGCTCTGCTCCAGGGGCTGCTCTGCCTCAGCGTGCTCCCTTCCATTCCTCCGTGGCCTGCATTGGAGGCAGGCTGCTTCCTGGGGACACTCCCCATCTCAGGCTGTGCTCTAGTGGACTTGGGGGGTTGGTTCCGCTGTCCATCATCAAGGGTCATGCTGGTGCTGGGACCCTTCCATGGGGCATCTCTATCTCCTCCCATGTCCCCAGGGCCTGAGTGCAGATGTCAGTCTTTCCCATGAGTCACAAGCTTGAGAAGGGTCAGGCTGACCACACCAGGGGGATGCAGACCCCTTCCTGTGGGCAGAGGCAAGGTTATGGGGCAAACAGAGGATGCCACTGGAGGGCCATGAAGGGCCTTATGAGGGTCAAGGGGGACCTTGAGGGGCCTAGGGAGACATTGGGTCCCTAAATAAAGATGTCAAGCTGTCAGTGGTTCAAGGTGGCCAGGCCAGGCTCCTCTCCACAGGGGCAGACCCTGTATGATGGCTGTCTTACCATTGCAGGTCCTAGGGAGAGGGCCACACCCCTCATGTCTGCATATACTTTTTTGGTCAGCCCTGAGTCCTGGGCAACAGTAGGCATGACACAGGGGCACAAAACCAGGGCTCGGAGGTCTAATGGGGCTCCAGGATTTGCCACTAGGGACTTCCCCCTTTGCAAGGAAACTCCAGCGAGTTAGGATGGGCACCCAGACCTGGGAAAGGACCTTGTCAGGAGCTACTGGAAGCAGAGGGCGTTAGGAAGCCAGATTACAGGTGTTGAAGTCCCCAGGCCAGTCTTCGTGTCCCCAGTCAGCCTTGTTTACTGATATAGAAATCAAAACCAAAGCACTATTTGGCAGGAAAAGCTAAAACTGGAAAATGGGAGAACAAGGCAGAGCAAGACAAATTGGCGGGGACAGTTGGGCAGTCCCAGGGGGCTCCAGGGAGTGGTGCAGGCTGCCCAGCAGGAGGAGAGGTCCGATTAAGGGGTTCTGGCAGCAGGGTGTGTGGTCACTGTCTCAGTGCTGGTTTCCTGGCAGCACTGGACTGGAGCTGGGGATTTCGTCCCTAGGAAGTACTTGTGTCTCTGTGGCAGTCTGTCCTGTGAGGCTCTGATTTTCCAGGGACACAGTAGCTCCTAGTTCAAGACAGTG